CCCCTTTTTACAAACCAACACAATCAACAAAGGCCACAGTGGGTGGATGACAGTGTGGAGTCCCTATCCCAATTATGGACAACCACTAATTACCAGCGGAGTAATTAAGAATCAGGCAGCTGTGGCAACGATAAGCAGCTTCTGGGAGAACACGGAGAAAAACTGCTGCTGGAGGTGAAACTGTTAATTATGGCCTTTTTATTCTGCGTGCACACACACACCCTCCAGATCTCAGAGACACAGTGATTCATCCCAACAGTTGTGATTGATGCAGCGCAGTCTGGATCATACAGAGCTGTTTACTGTGTCTTCACTGAGGGGAGAGTGAAGGCTGGAGTGAGGAAGAGGTAGAGCAGAGAGCACGAAGGTCAGCTGATAAAATGCTAATACCAGCGCTTAGCATCCATGCTCTGTCAGTCTGACAAGGCTGGCTGGGCTGGGCGGCTCAGAGATCTCTCTTCAAATGAACACACACACACACACACACACACACACACACACACACACACACACACACACACTGTGAAGGACGTGGACAGTGTACCAGACTCCACAAACAAACACAGACCATGAGTTTCTGAACCTTGGGGCCGACGTGTCTCACAGTTGATATGCAGATGAGTCACTGGAGGTTTATCAGCTTCACTTTGATATTTGGTTGATATCATCAGTTTGGAGTGTGTCCTCACAGACACAACATTCAGCAGATACAGATTTTACACATTTTATGTACATTTTTTATAATTAAAGTTGCTGTCAGGCCTGTTTGGTTTCGGTGTAGTTTATTGTCAAGGTGCGGCCGTGGCTCAGAGGTGGAGCAGGTCGTCCACTAGTCTGACGTTCCCCAGCTCCTCTAGTCTGCATGTTGACGTGTCCTTGGGCAGAATACTGAGCCCCAAAGTGCTCCTGATGGCTGCTCCATCAGTGTGTGAGTGTGTGTGAATGGTTACTGAGTAGCAGGTGGCACCATGTATGATAGCTTCGGCGAGTGTGTGTGAATGGGTGAATGTGACTTGTAGTGTAAAAGCTCTTTGAGTGGTCAGAAGAGTAGAAATACAAGTGTGTCTGAGCTGTGCTCAGAGGCAGAAAGTAACTTAGTACATTTACTGTACTATACTTAAAGGGATACTTGAGTATTTTTCAACCATGTTTTTTGGGAAGACAAGTTTTTAAAAATGGTCCAGTGGTGAGTGAGACTGGCTGCAAGATAATCCCTGCAGGCAACTGAGCACCGTCAGTGTACGTCCACTAAAACTGTACAGGCTCAGATTGGTATTATAAGTGTGTGATAACTTACTTAAAGGATCCCTACAGAGACAGACCAAAAAAAAAAAATTTTAAAAATCAGAAACAGCCCCAAAATCACCATCTGCAAACCCACCAGACTCCATTGAAATAAACATTTCAGCCTGTATGGAGCCAGTGTATTTTCACATCTAACTGGATGTGCGTTTTTTTCGGCGCTGTGTTGATGATCTTCATAACTTCCTCCTGGATGCACGATGCTACTACCTGATCCCAACCTCACCTACATGACGTGCCAGAACGTCCCCACCACAGCAGTATAAGAATAAGATAATAAAACCAGGCAGAGGGCGGAGTCTCTGCAGAGAAATACGCAGCCTCACGCTGACAGTGGGTCATAAGTGATGATTGAGACTGATTACAGCTGTAGGAGTCTGTACTTTGTTTATTTGCATACTAAACCTTTAAATGGGTGAAGTTAACTCAACCTCTGCAGGCTGCAGCATCAAAAATACTACTGTCAGCGTTGGAAAAAAGGCTCATTTGTCATGTGAAACTGCTTTAATTAGTGTTTTTAAGGCGTTAATCACCTGCTCTGTTTGTGATGGAGAAGAAGAGACCTCTGTGGATAATTCAGCTCCTGGTAAAAACCTCCTGAACATTTAACCTTGAAGGAATTCTAACTGGGAGGAGTTTCAGTCGGTTGCAATCTGCAGTCCTCACTGTTAAATCTGACACACTGGACCTTTGAAATTAAGATCAGAGGCTAAAATATGCTGAGTAACCTGGTGGAAACTCTGTCACTGTCACTGATCGTCTCTTCTCTGCAGCTGAAGTTGTTTCTTGCATTAAATTGTCTAAAATCCAACATTTGTAACAGTCTAACTGAGAAACTCGCCTGTTTAGTGTTTAACCTGCTCAGAGGATTCATTTCTAATGTGTGTGTGTAACCTCCTCTAATGTGGCCTTCATCCAATAATACTATAATCTGGACTAACCTGCATAATCCCTCAGGTTCATTAGTCTGGGTGTATTAGCATACAGTAACACAATAGCTGTAATTGTGCCTTGTGATTTGTAATGTAGTGGCAGCTGTAAAGGGTTCAGGTGTAAAGTTTAAAGCACAGTGTGAGCAGAGTGTCTCTCAGGTTAAGAATATAAGTAAAGACGTTAATGTGACCTGACGTGTTTACTGCTCGCTGCGTCCCTCATAACTCACCTGCAAGCTTTGCTCTGAGTCGTGATGTGTTCAGTGACTGTGAGGCAGGTTGTTACTTTGAAGTTACCTCAGCAAACATCGGCAGCAGTTTCCTGTCAGCTCAGTCATTTTTAAAAAACCTGGCTGAGCCTGTGACGAGGTAAAAGCTCCCTCAATGCGTGACCTCTGCTCCACGCATCATCAGGTGTAACCATGAGTGGAGCTGAAGTCGAGGCTCCAGCTGTTCTCACTCTCCACATCCGACCCTTCTCCTTCACTAACAACCATTTGTAACCCTGCTCTCATTTTCTGCACCTCTCCTTTTCTTCTTCTCTCTCTGCGCTACATGCTCTGATGTTCCCGTCTGTCCACACCTTCATTTATCTCGCCACCATTCATCCCTTCTTTCTATTTTCCACACAAAGGAAAAAAAAGGCTCAGCTGGAGATGAATCTGGGCAGACGTCCCAGCTACACACATGTCACATGTAACACATTTTACTCATGATTATAGAGACAGACTGATTTGCTGTGTGGTTTAAACAGAGGTGAAACATTTGTGTTGCTTTAAAGAGTCTTTGCACAGTGATGCAAATTAATTATCAGGACTGTTTTATTGGCAATAATGAATTTACAAGATTTTTATATAAACGTGACGAAGCACGTTTATTCATCAGGTATGATTAGATGTGACGAACAGACGTGCCTTCACCTGCATCCGTCTGTCTGGGTTTCTACGCTGTTCCTCAGAGCTGGGCGACGCCCAAATCTGGAAAAGGAAAACAAAGCAGAAAAAAGTCATATCCAGTTTATTCATATAGCACATTAAAAAACAACCACAGTTGACCAAAGTCAACACAACTTGAAAGAATGGCACGCAAATATGCAACAGTCTGAGATTTTCACTGCATGATAACTGTCTCAGAAAGTATGGTTGTTTCATGGTATGGCTGTGTCCATGTTAGTCACAGTGACACTTAAAGTAATAAAAACAGGAGTTTTTTTGGTTTAACGTTTGCTTTACCACTAAAATTGAATCTTGAAACCTTTTTTTAAAATAAATATATGTGTAAAAATTCTGTGATTCGAGGCTCTCGCTAACGTTAGCTACATAAACATGAACCTGAAGCTGCAGCTGTGAGTCTTTGGCTCCAGTTAGCAGGAGGCTAAACTGTTAGCATCATGTTGTCTCCATGTCTGAAACTCTTCACTGATACTGACACGTGTTTTATTTAGTTTATTGTCAGACTCTCTTTCAGACTTTGTTTGATCAGTCCGTCTCTTTGTTGGGTTGCTCTGCAGTGGAGACAGTTGTTGGCAATGTTGGATCAGCAACTTTCTCTGCAGGATTCTCCTCCATTGAATCAGAGTTTCACTGAAGAGACGTGCACATGCATCTGTGTTTGTAGAACAGCCAACAGGAACATTGGCATCTCTCTGAAATGATCTGTGATTGGCCAGAGTCTCCTGTCACAGGCTGGACATTTTAACCCCAGCTTTACTTTAGTTCCCAGAAAATTTATGTCAAATTCCATTTAAAGTTCCAAACAAGTTTTTTTTTTTAAAAAAAAGGTGGGTTTGTTTTCCCAAAGTGAGTGACTTAAGAGAAGAGAATTGGAGTTATAGGACCCTTAAAAGAGGTCAACAAAATATAACTACTGAAAAATAAAACTAACAAAACTAGCCTGACAGACTGAGACACTGGAGCAATATACTGACTGACTGATCAGACCACATTAAACACAAAGGGGAGAACTAAACAGACAATAACTAAGACTAACACATAGAAACCCTTAATCCCCCCCGTGATGTCACTGCTCTTAGTTTGGTCCATGCGATGGCCTTCTGCATAAAACCAGGCTCCGCCCTCACTCCAAGCTTTTGCCCAACTCCAACCAGGAAGTGACTTCAGGGAACTCAAAGACAAAGCAAAAGGAATACTAACTTACAAAAGCAAATATCAACATGTCCAAACAGTGTAAACTAAATGTACATGCTTTATTTAGAAAACAGTGTGTTGTCACAGTGCTAATACGTTTTAGATTGAACAAACTGGTGTGTGTATAAATGTATTTAGGAGACTGCAGATGGAAGGTAACTGAACATGTGGTGATGATGAGGGTGAGACCAGCTGTTGTTGCCCCGAGAACACCATTTTGTATGGGGGCCCTGGGACAACACCTGCCTCAGCGGGTACGTCGCCATTTCATGTTGCGCTAAAATGTAACCCCACTTCATCTATGTTCTCAAGTGAAAATAGGCAACATATGACAGTTCACTTCCTCCTCAGAAAAATAATGACGTTAGCAGTGATGAAGACTTAACATAAAATTAGGTACAAAACTGGGTGATAAACATTTTCCATCTTTCTCAGTTGATGTCTTCAAACTATAGTCTTCAGTTTTTGGTGCTCAATCTTAATTTCCTCCACACATGTACACACACACGGTTAACTAAAGCTTTTTATCCAGTGTGCATAAAACAACAGCAGAACAGGAGCTTCAGGACGTCACATCGCTCAACAGAGACGTAAAACGTTTGTTTTTCTTTTTCCTCAGGAATCAAGACTGGAACGACATCAGGACGGCACCATCTGTCTGACAGGGCACTGATGCTTTGAAGGTAAGATTCTAGTTTTTCTGTTCACTATATTAATTTCTGCATGTCATAGTTAAACACTTCACCACAGTTATATTGTAAAACTGCAGCTCCTCCACATGTCCAAGTGTCCTTGAGCAAGATACTGAACCCCAAATTGCTCCTGATGGCTGTTCCATAGGTGTGTGAGTGTCTTAAAGTTGTGTAGCAGGTGGCACCATGTATGTTCGCCTCAGCCAACAGTGTGTGAGTGAATGTGACGCAAAGTGTAACAAGTGCTTTGAGTGGTTGGAAGACTAGAAAGGTGCTACACAAGTGCAGGTCCATCGGCCATTTGATAACTATCACAGCATGATCTCATTTATTTATGTAAAATACTAAGAATCAGCTGGTAAGAAAAGCCTCTCTGACACGTTTGGTTTTCACCTGATCTTTTCTCTATGAAACTGCAACACAGCGAGTTATCTGATGGAGATTCAGACTGGAGCTTTTTCTTAATCTCGTCTGACAACAAGAACCACTCACAGAATCCCTCCCATTGGCTGCCCCTGAAGCAATTAACCATTAGCGCCTGCTCCACAAAAAACAAACGAAAAAAAAGAAACCCCCAGAAAAACAAAAATAGCATCTGACTGAGTGGATTTTTGCCTGAGAGCATTTTTTCTCAGAGAACCAGCAGCCACACAGCGAGGTGTTGTTCTCGCAGATTTCCCATCCATAAAGTGAAGGCGGTGGCATTTTACCGGCAAAATATATTTCTCTCAGAGGAGATTGCTCCCTGTGTGTGTGTGTGTGTGTGTGTGTGTGTGTGTGTGTGTGTGTGTGTGTGTGTGTGAGAGATGTGAAGCCCGATGCAGAATGTTAATGAGACTGAAAGCCTCTGTGCGCCTCCAACTGACAGTTTGACAGCTTCTGCGTGTGTGTGTTGGTGTGTGTACATGTGTTGATGTCCACAGCCTTCCTTTAGACGATCAGGATTCAGGTCAGAGCACATTTCCACCAGTAGGAAGGATAATCCTGAAGCAGCTGAATCGGCGTGTTGAGTAAAAAGGTTTGGTTAGTTGATCGGCAGCGTCCCAGAGGAAACTGTCTGATTGGAGAGGCTGAAGAGCCTGAACTCACCGTGTCTGCTTCGCCTTCAGCGCTTTGGTAAAATGTGGATTAATCTGCTGGTCTGCACATCCTCCCTCCTCCTCCTCCCCCCCGCTCCTCTGTCTGTCTCCTCCGCTGACTCTCTCCTCCTTAAAGTGCTGAAACAGCTCTATTACCTGGAGATGCTCTGGTAAAGGTCTCTCCTCTTTTCTCTTTTTATTCTGTCAGATATATTCTGTATTTTTGAGTTGTTTTTGTACAAATCAAGGGTCTAAAGATGGTTGAAAGGAAGTGTTGTATGTCGCATTATATCTGAGACAAATGTAGAATTTTGGGCTACAAACGAAAAGGCTTTACTGGAAATGTTCTCTTGGTCTTTGACCTTGTTTACCTTGGAAATTGTGGTGGTCAGCATTTTCTTGCAGCAGGAAACTCAAGCCAGTGTATGATTGCATGCACCTAACCCTGGTGTCCATCCCCGTGAGTGGTGATGCTCCATGTGGATTATTCTGGCTGTGTGAGGCAGTGCACCATGGGTCAGTGCCTGGCAACCAGACACTTGCTGGCGAGCTCTCCTCCCAGGTCTGGTTCCTGGTGTCCCTCCTCCGAGAAAAGTGCAACATCTCCTGTTTTGCTGATTCTTATAAATCGCTCTGAAGCTGCTTTCACCTTGCCGCGCAGTAACCGACCTGCAACAGCGTTTCCCCAAAAAGCAAAGCATTTTAAAAGCTGCTGCTAAGATGTGGTTACAGCTGTGTGTGTGTTGTAGCATAAATGAGACTTAAAATAAGAGGCTCAGACGTGGAGTTGCACATTTTAGGGTCTTTTAATCTCCAGAGAAGCCAAAGAATTGGTACATCATGACAGTTTTGTAATTCTCTTGTTTATGCTACAATGTGTTAATCCTGGCGATCATCATTTTATCCTCCATCTTGTAAATCAGGATGTAGACAGTAGGATTATGCCGTATACCTACAAAGTAATCCACCTGGAATGTGTGCTTGCACTCATTTGATTAGCCAACACTAGTCCTTAAACAGGAATTGTGCAAATTTGCAGGAAAGTCCAATCAGTGTTTTTTCAGCATTGGCAGTATAAAAACAAAATCGGGGAGTGCAGCAAAATGCCGCCTACCTACTTTTGTTTATACAGAATGTGCCTTTTTCGGGGCAATGGGGGGCGTGAGCAAGTAACAAAACGTGTAGCTCAGCGTGTGACGTAAACAGTGACGTGGGAGGGAAGCCGCGGCTGGTCAGTCCTTCGGTGATTCTCTCGTAAGTCGGCCCGTTCTTCACCGTCCCCGTCATCTGACGGTTAATGGCCTCTTCGTTTGCGAGGACAAGGAGGGCGCGCAATTCCTTGTCTCCCCAGTTGCTCATCTTTACAGTGTCTGTCAGGTTTGTGTTTCCCTCTTGCTACTAGCTGCTCGCTAATTCCTGCTATCAGCTGTTTCCTGTTTATCCACCGCCAGTGGCTCGCACGTGCGGCGTCATCAACAGCTCCTCCCACAAGTCATCAACAGCTCCTCCTGTTGCAGAAGGCCGCCTCGGTCTGTTTAAACTAAAAGGGTTCCACCAATATGTCTACCCTACGAGGCGGAAAATTGGGCACCTCGGATCAACTCGCCAATCCAGCTCTGTGTGTCTAAACGCTCGCAGCTTGCCGGCAAAATGGCCCAACATTCACTGAAAATCTGGCAGTGTAAAAGGGGCTACTCTGTGTTGCCGGACACGTTGAGCCATGGTCAAAGTTTTTGCGCGACATGCATTTTTTGCCATAGCCCTCTGTTTCAGAGTGTTGGTGTCGCTGTCGCTGTTTCAGTGAGTTTTCAGTTCACGAAAGTTAATTTTAACATTCTGGTCGCCTAAAAAAAAGTGAGTCAGCGTTCATGGTTTTAAGACTGTTCTTTACTGTCTGAAATTCTCATTATCACAATAAACCATAGCTGTACAGTCAATACACCGTGCTAACCAACCCAACTACGGTTACTTCTGGCTCCAAAAATCCAAGATGGCGACGGCTATAAAGTCAAACCTGAGGCTTCACAGTGGCTTTGTCCATTATTTTATATGATCTCATTGAAATGAATGAGGGGCTGCATTTTTTCATATAGTGCTGATGTTAAACTTCCAAATATAAGAACACACTCCCTCTCCATGGCTTACAGGTTGTTTCCTCCGTGCAGTTTAACCTGTGGCTGTAATAACGTGGACCTTAAAATGAAATGTTTCTTTTCACTTTTTGCTCATGTAAATAAACAGCAGCTTTCCCCACAGCGTCTTCACCGCTCTCTGTTTGTATTTATTTAACAGTAGAAGCTCCTTTTTCTGGCGACAGCTTCACTGCTGGCTGCGCCTTTTCATCCACAGATAGCCCAAGGTCTCCTCTAATGGCTTTCCAACTTGCCGTTATTCAAAGGGCGGCGACCGTGTTGGTTTCCTGCTCCTTCCTTGGACTCTCAGTTATGTCATCTGCATCTTGCATAATGTTACGCTGCAGTACAGTGTCATTGAGATTCAAACAGCCCTACCCAGCGTCTGAATATTCTGCATTATAATAGCTCTCAGCCGGCCCCCTCTATTCATGTGTAAATGCTGATGTTTCTGAAGTACGCCCAAGCTTCCGACTGTTACTATCAAGACTGGCTTAATTTTGATGGCTAATGTGTTTCTATTCCTGCCTCCCACGCAGCACGGTCTGTAGGAGCTGCCGCCTTTTGGGAAAAGAGGAACAACGTTGATGTCCGTGTTTCAGAGGCTAATCTTGCTTAGATTGAATGTGATCCAGTCGGTGTTGCCAGTACATCCAGTCCAGTGCTCCATCTGCAGATATGTTGCACTGAGGCATCGGCGTGTCAGCAACCCTGTGTTTACTGTATCTACTGAGGCGATTAATTTAGGCTGAATATTAAGAGAGGCGTCCATTTGGCAGACGAGTGAAGCCCAGCCGTGTTTCTGCAGAGCAGTAGATTTACTTGGCAATTTCCTATTTGGCTCTTACCTGTTCAGATGCATGCTGGTACCTCTTGGCACCCTGTGCTGTTATGTGGCACCATCAGATGAGATGGAGCTGTTTAACTTTGTAAGAAAGAGCACCTTTTTTATTTACCTGTTGTCATGATTCAGTCAAATACATGTTGGCATTACCTTTCTGTAAACCACAGATATGTCACATTTGGACATTATTATGGAGCAGATACATTGAAACTAAACGTTTCTTTGTTTCAACAACACTTTGGTTAACGTGTGGTTAAGTTTAGGCACACAAACCAGTTGGTCACGGTTAGGAAAAGATCATATTTTGGCTGAAAATACCCGTTTTGGTGGCACAATCCAGGCTGGAAATGCAGCAGTGTTTCAGGAGAAAAGTAACCAGTTGTCATGGCTCTATCCTTGAAGAAAACTAAGTAATGTCTTGTTAAAAAACAGCCACCTTTGGATGGTAAAAAGCTGCTGGAAAAACGGCAGTTTGTTGGTCTTGAACAGTGCAGCTTGGCAGGTGTCTCACCTAGGTGACACATGATCCACCCTCCCCTCCACCTCAGCTCAGATACTACACCACATCAGAAATGTTGATATGATACATATGAAACGTACACGTGAATCTGTGGTTTGCAGAAACACACAATGTCAACATGTTCTGTTGGCTGTTCAGCTGAGGAGCCAGTTCAGTGTGTATATTGTAATATTTCTGTCAGAGATGATGATGAAAAGCAACATTAGCGACCGGCAGAATAATCCTGCACCACATCAGTCGCTCTAACCGGATCTGTGGTGTCATCTGGAGGAGAGCAATCAGGGCAGTCTGATGAGAGAGGCATGTAGATGGAGTCGAAGCGATCGGGCTCAGAGAGGAGCTGTATGGTTCGCCGTGCAGACGGATAGATGGACAGGAAAATTGGATTTCAAGACTTCCCATTAGGACGGCGGGTT